TGCTGTCAGCACCTTTCTAGCTGCCAGTACACAGCACAGCACTAGGAGGGCCTGCTATGGGGAAAATTAACTCCGTCTCAGCCAGATCCAATGCGCTTGCATGTGCAGAGGATGTGATTTTCCTTGTCAAGTAGTTTTGAAAATGTATAGCTACATGGGAAAACCTGGGTTTTGGCTGAAGTGCTTGAATGAAATGAAGACACCAAAACAAAACCAAAGATAGATGTAATTTAGTTAAGAATCCAAATACTCTGAGTAACCTAAGTGTGTTTTAAATAATTATTAATATCTTTAATGTGAACTGGCTTGATCTGGACACAGAGCATGGAGGGCTCCTTTTCCTTCCTTCTCAAGACATGCTGTAAACCCAGCATCGTGGATGGTGCCAGCTCTGGAGGAAAGAGCCATGGCTCCGGAGGAGCCAGGACTCTGTGTGCTATATGCCACCAACAGGGAGACAGGTATTGAAAAAAATGAATTATTAAGGTAGTTCCGCTGATGTGGAGCCTCACTTTGTTTTTAGTCAATGTTTTTGTTGGATTGCAAGAGCTGTGTAAAGTTGGCAATGTTTGTGTGGTTAATACAAGTTAATGCATCAGACTTTATAGTTCTTGGGAGTCGACTGATCAAATGAGAGATGAAATGTCAATGGTATAAAACACTGGTTTTAGATTGAATGCAACAGGCTATATTTATGAGAGAAAAATATACAAATGTTTGTAGAAGCGTTTTATGTATGGCGGGCAGGCATAATCATATAGTTGAAGCACAGGACATGGATGTAACACATCTAGCCTCCGGGAATCTTGGGCAAAGCCTTGTAATTTCTTGTTGGCAATGGCAATTCTTACAAGGGCTTTGTCAGATTAAATTGGGCAACACTTGCAAAGATATACAGAGAGATCGATAAAGGGATAATGGTGTTTCCCTTCAAAGGACTGTGCCTGCAGGTCACTGTACATAATCTCTGATGCAGGTGGTCTGCTAGTTGTTAACTCAGCGTCATCGGGGGCTGTTTTGAACTTAATCTATTTTTGTTGTTGTCCCCATCTTTCTGTATTTACTTACGCTTACTCTCCCTTAGCGGCGTTTTAATAGCCATGTGAGCCAGAAGGCAGATTTCCCCTGGAGCCAGGCCCAGGGCCCTCCCTGATGCCAGCGCCGGGCTGGCACCCCAGCGCCCGCCGCGTCGCCTTCCGCTGTGCCGGCAGTGGCAGAGACGCAGCTCTGCTTTCTCAAGGCTGTCAAACCTGCAAAACACAGAGGTGGACAAACCCTAATCTGAGGTTACACCAACACACGAGTCTCTTACAATGAAAGGCTGTATTATCCTGGAAACGATAAAGCCTCAGATAGGGTCTTAGGGATTGGGGCGTCTGTTTCTGGCTATGCCGCGGGTCTCACAGGTAACTCATGATCTCCGATTTCACTGTCCGGCGCTTTATTTTCCTCATCTATGAAAGGCAGAGAACAGTGCTGGCTTCCTCTGTAAATTACTCTGAAATTGCTTAAGAAAACTGTTAGAGAAGACATCCTGCTAGGCCAGAGAGAGAACGCACGCTGCAGCAGCAGTGTCGGCTTCTGTGCCAGGGGTGGTGGCCAAACCTAGCAAGGGAACTGCAGAACAGGGCCAAGAGAATGATTCTCCATCCTCTGAGGAGAGAAGTACTTTCTTTCTAGTCTTGAAGGGTTGTGTCTAAGATAGCTTGTTGTCAGCCAAACAGGGCTGCAAGTCAAGATCAAGTCTAGATAAGTGGGGAAAGATGAAAGGAAGCATTTTAACTGTCAGACCTGTCAGACTTTTTTTTTTTCTCTTGTCTCATTAGAAGCATTAAGGGAGCTGCTTGAAGCTGGTTGCATGTTCAGATAGGAACAGTTCTGTGGAGTGTGGCTAAGTGGTCACAGCTGGATTAGGACAGTCACATGAATGATAAATCCGTTTATTGTGCGACGTTGCAATGCATGACAAAGCTGTATCTCCGTATTAGGGAAGTTCTCAAACAGGAAAAGAAGGTATATTGAAAGTCTATAAATTAATTCATGACAATTGCAAACCTTGCAGACAGCAACAAGATTGATGGAGTTCAACTTAAAGCCCTAACACACCTACTTCTACAGTGGAAAAGTCCTTATACATTTTTATATAGGCCAGCTGATTTTTTTCCCTCTAGGAGTATCCCACAGTAGAATATTTTTCCACCTGGGTAGGGTGACTTTATAAACACATATTTGAAAACCAATCTAAATTCATAAAGGCCTATAAAATAAGGGACATAATGTCCTTGACTGAATTCAATTAAGCATATTATTTGTATTAAGCGTTCAGATGATTTGTTATACTTTATTAATTTCTAATGGCAGAAAGTCTGAAAATACTTCCATTCATACACTTAATAGGAGTGACTGGGTTTCATAATGTTCTGTTCTAAATAACCAAACCTATAATTCTAAGAAACCTTCTGAAATAAAATATACAAAGCATATGTTCAGCCAGACCCAGTAATGTGTCATCAACATATTTTGATCTAAACTGGAAACAGAGTTTTAGTAAAAAGCACTGCAGACTCTAGCTGGGCATAATTTATTGCTGCCTGCAAATTATATTGTAAATCCTGGCCCAAGAATAGTGATTTTTATTACTGTTCTCAGCACTGAGTGCCCAGTAATGTAGTATGCGATTTATTAATCTTTTTTTTTCATATGTATTTATATGGGCAGGAAGGCACTGTCCTCATGAGTCTGAGTCATTTTTCCATAGGAATCCTGGAAAGATGGTAAGGAGGTGGTACAATGCACAAGCAGACAAACACACGGGCATCCCAGAGGAAAGAAGGGAATATGATTTAATCACCCCAAAGGAAATAAATCTACTGATTTGCATTTGGTTTATGTTTTTTTCTGCTTTGTTGTTATGCAAACCTGAATATATTTTGTAGGTCTGCTCATATCTTTCCCCTGGTGAACACAAAGTCATTTTTAATAGTTTTCCCTGGGGATATTTTCACATGATTTAATTAGGGTTTTTTTTGCCTAAATAACTTAGCAATTCATAAGAGCACATGTACCTGAATGTAAAACAGACTCATGATCATTGCATGTTGGCTAAGCATAGTCTTGAAGATGCAAGATTTATTCCCTGGAGTTTTCTTTATTTGAGACTGAAGGAGGTTGTGCAGCGGTGCCTTTATACCAAACAGCCTCCGGGAACCTGGATGGCTTGATTTTGGGATGGCTCCTGTTTTTACCTGCAACCCCACCTGTGCGAATGAACCGTGGAACAGGATCATGGGGCTTACAAAGGGTAGTTAGGCTCCTTCAGATACTAACGTGGTTGTTTGCTTTGAAAACATTAGGGAATTGAGATAAGTGAGTTAGGTAATGGATTTTCTCCATGCCCTGTAATCTGTCCCACCTTGACAATTAGTCACAGACTAGCGGGGCTTCAGCTGCTCCTCACCACCCCCAAGAGGGAGGGGAGAGGGGCAGAGAAGTCCAAAGCATTGATGCTTCTAGGTGGTGATCTCTCCCGCCCTGCAAAGGCAGCGAGGTGAAAAAAGGGTCTTGATTCATAAAGATTACAATTATCTCAGTATCTATTTCATTTAAATTCCTATGGAAACAGGAAATTATGTTCTCCACCAAAGAGACGGACCTCGGTTTGTAGGATGCCTCTCTCGCAAACTACTACAGGATCTGAAAGTTCTGGGGTCCATAATTTCAACACAGCCTGTTTGGTGGATTGCCTGTCCAGCACAGTAAAGAGGCTGGCAGGAGATCAGACTTTTGGAACCAACCTGGATAACTGCTTCCAAATATGTCCATCATTAAAAAAAGCAAAAAGCAAGCAAACAAACAAACAAAACTACAAAAAACCAAAACAAACCAAAAAACCACACACCCCCACCCCAACCAGAAAGCAAGTTGCTGCATTCCAACAACAAACCCCCCGAACAATTAGGTGGTATTTTTATGACCTTTTTTTAACTGAAAGGTCAAAACTCAACTGATTTTATGTAGATTAAACCAGTTTCTAGAATCTGCGCCTGAAAGAAGAGCAGAATGGTAAAAAATGTGAAATGGGTTGCGCGGTGATCCTAGAATCTTCTTGGGTATATGCCCAGATAGCTCACGGGTTCTTTGAAGGCTTTGCCTCAATTTCTGCTTGCTCTGGGCTGGATGGGATGCTGTTGCTTAGATCCCCTTCTTTTTGATCCTACTGAACAATGCTTCTAACATTTTCTGATCTATTTTGACAGCTCTCTAGTCTTTCCAAATTATTCACTACGTGTGAGATCAGCTTCATCTCCACGGAAGGTTTTTCCATTGATACAATGTGGAATATTGTATACAGTTCCTCTGCTGTTGCTGATTATGCTGGCAGATGGTTTTGGTAGTCACAAGGTCTATTTAAAATGATAGATATAATTTTATTTACCTAAGACAGGAGCAAGCTTTGATTTGTTTAGTGTTTCAAAGATTACTTTATTTGCTGTTTGGCAGCACAATCCTATCTCCTTTGCAGGTTTCAGCTGACACTTCATGTGCCTCAGCAGCAAGTGAAGCAATCTCATGTGGATCTGGTGGAAGATAGAGAGGTTAGCCTGAGCTTTAGCTCTGCTCAGATTCTTTCCAAGAGCACTCGGAAGCTGCATGGTGTCTCATTTGCCCAAGAAAGGCAAGAGAGGACATCATAGCCCAAATCCCACCCAGCTCTGATGCTCCAAGAGTGAGCTCAGAGTGCTTTGATGCAGCAGGCAGTGGTAAAGGCGTGTTTCCCCACCCATAACCAGGTGGGCGCTGGACTCAGGAATAGCATGCAATAGGAGGCAAAAGTCCTTTATGCCTGTCTGCCTGTCCTACTGGTACACTAGTGCTGGCTATACAGCCATTTGTGATGGTTTCCGACAGGTGCTGTAGTTTATCAAGGCACACCGATCTGCTGATTGTGTTTCTCATGAGCTGTATATTTGGGCTCAGTTGCTGAGGTGGTAGATTTTGCACTCTAGAAAGGACATACAGAAAGCAGCCTTTATTTTCAGCTGAAGAAAAATGTACACAATAGGAGCTGATAAAAACAATCACTTCCCTCTAGGAAACTTTTCATGACAACAATGTCTCTCTGTCCTGCTGTGTGCCTCTAATACAGTCTTTGAACTGTACTAACTTATTTCTATCATGCCAACATATTTTCCTATTTTGTGTTTTCCCTTTTAGGCCAAAATTGGCTCTGGAAAGCTCATGGGCCCTAAAGGTGTTTCTGTGGATCGCAATGGCCACATCATTGTAGTGGACAATAAAGCATGCTGTGTCTTCATCTTCCAGCCGAATGGGAAAATAGTCACCAGGTTTGGTAGTCGAGGAAATGGTGACAAGCAATTTGCAGGTACATTTGACGGTAATATGTAAATCCCCTTCCCTTGCCTCTTCTGCTCACATTTGCATGATGTTTGAGCATGTTGAAGACGCTATATCCTACTCGTTTTTCCTGAGGGGGAAGGGTTCTACTGAACATACAGCTCCTATTCACTTCACCATTTGTTTGATTAGTCAGGAAGACTGCAACATCTGTTCTGCAAATGTAGCTGTAACCAGCTTGATTTACCTACCTCTCTGTGCCTGGAAGCATTTCAGATCAATGACCCAAGAAAGACTGATCTTAACTAGCATTTCATGAATGCTTTGTAATGCCCACACTCAGCTGTTCGTGATAATCAACTCAAACACTGTGCTTTGTGTTTCCAGTGATCGGATACACATTAACTAATGCCCCAAGTGATATCTTCCCATTAGAAAATGAGTGTAATGGGATAGTGTTAAGACTGAGATCAGGAAGACACAGTTATGCAAACGGAAAATGCCAGTTTGGGGAAATGGCCACTTATGTTCAACTGACTGCTTGCGCATGGTGTCTTTCAATTAGAACATGCAATTAAGTTAAAAAAAAGAACCCTGATACATTTTAAGTGAATAGCTATTCTTTCAAAATTTGAAATGAAGATGCAAAATTACATATGCAGGTCATTTTGCAGCTGTTGGGTTACTCTGAATAAGTAGTTATAGATTGGTCTGATGTTCTGACTGGTTCACAGCGTAAGAGAGAAATAGCATCAATGGTATAACTGCTTTTATCTTACTTGAGATCTCTTGCACCCTCTTATGGAACAAGTGCCATATATATAATTTATGAGAGCTTTGGCTCTAACACAGCTACGTGTCACCAAGATTTAATGGATATGTCCAATTTCTTTCATTTTAAAATATGTAAGAATACCTCCTGAAAGTGAGTGTGCAAATACTCTGTAACAGTGTATTTGAGAAATCTATCACCTCTTCTTGGTGGTAGGCTACATAAAATAGGTGAATTGTCATTCCTTGAATTTTTTCAGTGTAGAGGTTTTCACCCTTTCTATAGTTCACACTGACGTACTGTGAAAATTGAGAACGAGTTCTGATCTGTTTAATAACTCAAAATAGCACCAAGTATTTTGATTCAGGTACTTGCCTGTTTTCAGGCTACCATTTGTTCTTCATTCAAGTTTGCGCACATAGTTCAATACATAAAGTAAAGCAAAAAATGCACTTTTTTTTTCCCCTGACGGTGTTCTTCTAAGTAACTTTTGTATTTATCCTAAAACTTGTTTGCTCAAATGCTTGTAAGAAGTGGGCACACAAAGCATAGAGATTTCAATTAAGACTTTACATGAACATTTTTGAGAACTATTTTCAGTGTGTACACAACTTTATGCCTAAAGGCACTACACGTTTTGTCTTGTTAATAAGCACATAAATATCTACATACTCATCTGTAGATGAGAGAGGAAGGAATGAACAATGCTTATTGGTAACACTAGCTGACAACTGGTTGAAAAAGAAATTATTTATGTTTACAAAAAGGCATGCTGAGATTTTTAAACCATGAAATTAAATTACTCTTAATTTGAAATTGATATTCCCAATTTGACTATTAATACTCAGAAGCCAAATATAATACTCTGGCAGGCTGAATAATTTTTTTGATTTAAGCAAACTTTTTGATTTAGTGATATTATAATTCTTTTTTTTTTTCTTCCTCTGCATTGCAGGTCCTCATTTTGCAGCTGTAAACAGCAACAATGAAATTATCGTTACAGATTTTCATAACCATTCTGTCAAGGTACTGTCAATTCATAGCAACTTGGAAAGGTTTTTATTTTATCATGGTACTTTCTTGGGGAAAACAAAGTACTGTTAAAAGCAAAGAGATCACACACCGTATGTATGAGGTCTGATACAAGGACTACACATTCAGAGACCTTTGCAAGCAGCGCATTGCTTAACAGAGATAAAATTCGTTGCCTTGGGTGCCATTATAATGTTCTCTAATTCAGCTTAAACAGAAGCTGTACCCGAGATAAATGATAGCAACTTAGTTGTTCTTATTAGCTCTCTGCCAAACCTGTTATTTACCCTATGTTCTGTCCTGTTCTAAGTAACTCTGCTAACTGCTTTTGAATTTCCCAGTAAAAGCTTCCCACATTTCTAGTTGAATAAAATTATAACCAAGTGAAGATACCTGACAGTCTTTAATTCCATACCTACAAGCTTTAAGGTTACTGGATCCATCTACAACCTGATGCTCTGAACAACTGTGTAAGACAGACCATGGGTTTTCAGCCAGTTCCTCCTGCGCTGGGCAGAGCTGGCCACTAGTCCTTACAGCCGTGGGAAGTCCCGACTCGTTAAACAGTCATGGGAAGGCAGGGTGGTGTATTTGTTTGTTCCAATAATAAACCAAAACAAGGATACGTGTTGAGATGTCACATGGTGGAAGATGTGTGAAGGCGCTACAGGCCATTTCAGAAATTACTCACCTGTGCGTGTTTGTTTTCAGGCTGTGACATTCCCTTTCAGTCACTTTCTGCATGTTTTTTCCCTCCCTCAACATGCAGTAGCAGGAGGAGGAGAAAGAGGAGAAGGACACGGGCAGCAGTTGCTGTCCCACCCGAAGTCTGAGGCCACGTGTGCCGGTCCCACACACCAGTGAAATCCCTGGGATTTCACCCAATGGCTGCCTGTTCTGGCTGAACACAGAGGTGAACTCTCAGTCCAGTTCTTCAGTGTTCATAACTGAATTGATAAATCCTGTCTATTCGCCTGAAATGGGAAATGACTGAGCATAGACACCCTCATGTCCTGAGCAGTGCCGATCATCTAGCTTCTGAATGGCGACCTTGCTCTTGTATCCTCTTGGAATTAGAGAGAAAATAGCAACTCCTGGTTTGGATTACAACAAAGAAACCAAGGCTGCTGCAGGAGCCCTAAAGCAGATTGTTCACTTGGTTTAGCAGCAGGAGGCCTATGAGTCCATAAATTACACCTCCACCAGCAGGGCTTGCCGTGGTAACAAGAATGCCTGGAGAGAGCCAACAACAAGGGCAAAACAAAAAAAAAAAACCCACACATGTGAAGAGATGTAAGAAGTGTGGCATCTTAGTGAATTTATACTTATTGCATTCCTAATGAGAACAGAGTGTTCCCGTCTGTCTCTGGTGTGACTCAATGGAATAAAAATGTTCCTTGTTACCATGTGGCACTAACTGGAAAAGATTCTTATTTTTGTAGTGTTCTCTAAATTGGTACAGATAATTGTTGACACTCTGGAGAGTTATTTATAATCCAGGTGATGCTGTTACCTTTTGTTAGATGGTGGGGAAAAGAGCAGAGAGTACATTTTGTTTTCAATAATAAATTTATAAATAAATAAATAAATTTCACTCTTACAGGTCCCAAAGCCTCTTCCTGCCACCAGTGTCTTGAATTAAACATCCTTACTCAGCAACATTATCCTCCCTCCCCCATTAACCTTCAAGCACGTTCGTTCCTTCAGGCATCTTCTATGGAAAATCCTACTCAACATAGGCTTCTCCCTCATTTGATTACTCACCATCCCCATTTTAACCCAAGGGAGAGAGCAATACATCTTTGCTTTTTTTTTTTTTTATCAGTTGACTTCTTTTTCTACTTTTTTAATCATCTGAGGCACCAACCTGGTACTTCATTAATTTCCTCCCCCAAATGCTTTTTCTGTGTTCACTGTGGGTGGTCAAGAACAGGATGATTTCCTCACATCTTCCACCTTATTAGCATTTCAGTGTACACTTGGCACTTGTCAGGTCTCTGCATTTTCTTGTGCAAGCCACAGCCGGTCTCTGCGAATGCTGTTGGACCTTGGGGCACAGCTGGGCCTGGGTCCAAGATGGACCAAAATAGAGATGGCTGTGGTCCTATGTACGTGGCACATCCCGTATCTCGCTTGGTCCCTTTGGTGCATCCAGGTTGCTGACAGAATAGTCATCGGTCGGTTCCATCTTTCTGCTGTCTAAACCTGTTACCATCACAGAGAATACAGTTGCTGAACTGTCTATACAGAGAGCAGCATGCCGTGATTGTCAGTATGTCTTAGGTTATGAAAGTGGGAGAAGAGTGCATCTGCTCTGTTGTGTTTCCCAGTGCCGTATCTGCACTCAGCCCTTCCCTTTGTAATTCAAGACACAGAAGCTGCAGGAAGGGTTCCTGGGACCTCTGTGTCTGCGATGAATCAGATCTTCAGAGAGAAGGGAAATACTGTGTCGTGTAAAGGAGCTGGAAGGAGAGATGGGCACCTGTGCTCCCATCTGCAGTGTGTGTCTTTGTGTAGGGGGGCTGTTCCTGGGAACTCTTCAATTCCTACTTTTGTTAACAGGTGAACTGGTAGTCATAGATTACTAATATTTGATGCGATGCCATATTCAGGTTTTTGTTTTAACCCATACAGGTATTTAACCAGGAGGGAGAATTCATACTGAAGTTTGGATCAAATGGAGAAGGAAATGGACAATTTAATGCACCAACTGGAGTAGCTGTAGATTCTAATGGGAACATTATTGTAGCAGATTGGGGAAACAGCCGAATACAGGTAGAAATTTCTGTATTTCAAAGGTGCTTGATTAGGAAAACTAATGGATTGATAACTCTGGCCACTGAAGTCTCCAGACTTCCCAAGAAAGAGGATAGCAGCATGAGAAGTGATGTGGTTTCTAACACAGCCTTTCATGTGCCTCACTGCTGGTCTGTCCACTTTGAGAACTGGTGGTGTCAGGTTGTGGACTTTCCAGTGTGGCTGCTAGCAACTCTGATGGTTGCTGTGACCAAGGCTTTTGTCTCCAAGTAGTTCCCCAAAAGCTATCTGATGACTTAGGAGACTTGCAAGCATTGCTGAGGTGATAGTAATTTATGATCACCGTAACAGAAGATTGGAGACATGGTGGAAAATACAAAAAAGCAAATGATTGGTATAGACCTTGAGGCAAATGCAGCAGATTTTTATCGTCTTTTTTGAATGTTGAGAAAATATCCTGCTTTTAAGTTATGAGAGTCGCACTCTTTCTCTCTTTCAAGTGCTAATCACAAAGTCTTCGTATTTGCCAAAGAATATCTAATAAATAACTAAGTGTATGTATTACTTTCACTGAACAGAAAAATGAGGGAGCTGCTTATGAGTTGTTCTCAGGAAGCGCTGTCAACAGTGTAAACAAATTCCTGGTTTTCTCTGTGTGGGAACCTAAGAGTCATGCTACCCACAACAGTAATATTTGTTAGGAAAACAAGGTGTTGGTTGAGTTCCTTATTGAGTTTGATTTACGGTAGTTGACTATTTTTAGAACAAGGAACAGCCGAGGTGCTCTTTTTATTATTATTTCATTGCATGTTTAATTCTTGCCAAAGATCCTGGCAGCTTTAATTAGTTCTTTTTAATAAGAAAATACATTTGCATATAAACTTGTATATTATAACAGATCAGATTCTGCCCTTGTTTATTCTAATGTATGTCAACTGTTTCAGCAACGAGAAGTATAATGGTATAATTGAGGGCAGACTTGTGTCCACTATTTCTTTTTCATTCATAACATTTATTCTGTGCTTTCTCACCCTCAAAGGTTTTTGATGGAAGTGGATCATTTTTATCCTACATTAACACCTCTGCTGACCCACTTTACGGTCCCCAAGGTCTGGCCCTGACTTCAGATGGCCATGTTGTAGTTGCAGACTCTGGAAATCACTGCTTCAAGGTCTATCGATACTTACAATAGCAATGCGCTCTGGAGCTGGATAATCGTCCATCCTTAAGAAAAGACTGGTCCTAGAGATCCAATGCAGGATATCTCCAACTTTGAGTTCATTTTTAATAACGAAGGAGTCTGTTATGGGCTTCTCATGTTAATTTCCAAACTTCCCCTGTTTACATAGGACTTGCACCTCTTGCGTTTCTCACTGAACTTTTTGTTGTAAGGGTTAATACACAAAATCCTCTTTAACTGAATTCATAAAGACAACATGATATTAAATGCAAACTGCAACTTATGGAACTGGAATTAACTAATTAGGCAAAAATGAGCAAAATTTGGGAAAAATCTCCAAAGCTTTTTGAAGACTGCGAAGGGTAGCTCCTGCTCAGAGCTTCCAAATTTGAGGAAGTATCATTGTTATGCATTATTTAACCCAGAGGTGATCCTGGGAATCTTCTAGATCTCATTATCATGGTAGGTATTACACTTTTAACATTCTTCAGTCTTACTATCTATAACAAGTAGGTCCTTTTAGCATAAGGTTAAGTCTCACAAAATCCGTCTAGCTCTAACCGTCAGACCTAACACAGCTCAACATTTAGCACTATGAGAATCAATGCAAATTCCCTACTCATGTGGGATTAATGAAGGATTGTTTCATGTGCTTGTTTTTCACTCTTCCTCTTGCTCAATGTGCTGGAAGGACTTTGCAGAGACCTGACATTTCTAAAGCTCTGGAAAAACTTAATTGTAGAGATACATTAGTGAGAGCTGAATTTCTGTATAACGACAGACCTTTTGACACCAAACTAGTTCATTAGGATCAGGGTTATTACAATGTCAACTCAATTAACCTCATCCTCATGTATGCCACTCTTTTGTATGTGTTCATTGCCATGTTTCCTTAAGGCAACTCATTGTGTTAACCAATAAAATGCAATGCAGCATGACACAGGACAGAAAGCCAGAGAGGTACCCCTATGGAGGACCTGCATTATACAACCAAAGGAACTGTGGTAAACAGAGGTTGTATAGGAAAGCCAAGGGTTACCAAAGCTATTTGTTTTTACATGAGAAAAAATGCATTACAAATAAGAATGAATTTCAACCAACTCCTGAAGTCCTTCATCAAAGGGAATTTTGTTAGTGGACAAGATAAGGACTGTGAGATTTGTTCCGATTTGTTTGTATGTATGTACGTATGACTGATTGACATAAAAATAAAAAAAAAAAAAGGAACTGTAGTTTATTTCAGCAAACTGGAACATATGTATGCCATTTGACAATGGCAGTACTCTGAAACATGTCCCTCCTCCTTCCTGCTGGATCTCTCTATTGTGTTCTTTGTTGAAGTATTAATTTAATTGGAAATTCTTACAATCATATGACTTGGTTCTGGTTTTAATGTTTTGTTTGGGGTTTTTTTGTTTTGGGTTTTTTTTTAACTGTGAACTTGTCCTTTTTAAAGTAGCATTGGCTTTATTCTTATTTCTAAATCCAGTGGTCAAAGGATGAATTGCTACTGTAGCCTAATATAGATAGAGCGATGCTCACTCTTCAACCTCGTTTGAGGAGCTGGTGAGCTTGCTGCCAAAGCCTACAATAGCCTGGGAAGTATTGTCTGTCTTTTCTCATTTTTAGGGCATTGGGTCAGGAGCAAGGGAGTATTTTAAGCATGTTTGCAAAATGGAAAGGAGTCTTTGTTAAATTACTTGTTATAAGTATTTGTCTTATTTCTAAAAGGTTAAGGTGGTTGTTTCAATGAATTTGAGAAAAACGAATGGTTTTCTTTTGTAAAGATGCATTTGACTTGTAAAAATGCAGACCCCAAGGTTCTTAAATGTGGAGTTTGTCTGGTTTTTAAGTACTGTTTCTTAAAGATAACTTCTTGCCCTTGTTTATTTTTTGCACGTAGAGCTAATTTACAAATTCTCGTGCAAAGATAAGTTTCCTTATTTCATTGGAAAAAATATTTTGTGTATAAGGCTTAAGGTTTGGAGTACATAATGCAGCTAAGAAACTGGTGGTAGTATTTTTGAAATGTTTGTTATTACCAAGAGAACAAAATATCCTCTGCTTGAACTGAGTTTGTCCTAAAATTCTGAAGATATCTCAGTCATTACACAATAAACTGTCCTACGAAAATTTAACAAAATTGTAGATCAAATTTTCTGATGATCAAGTAATTTCCTTCTAAGTGTCCTTATAAGCAACCTTCTGGCAAACAATTTCTGACATTGTAATGCCCTTAAATGGCTAATTTATCAATGAAGAAAAGGTATGTAGTATTTTAACTATATTTATTAACAAAGAGACAAGGTTGCACAGGTTCTTTGGGATAAAAACTTAAAAAGAGGATGAGAAATGTGCTGTTGCTGTCAGTTATGGGTAATAGTAATGAAATCTAGTTCCAAATTTGGATTTTTATAATAACATTTTACTAAACTTGCATGGTTTCCACTCAGGAAACATTGGCAAATCTTCTGTGGCCAGGAACTCTGAGGACCACAGAAATCAGACCCTAACCTACATATCAAACATATACTTAAGATCGTACTATTCCATGTGTACGCTTTTCTTCAAAAGATTTTCAGTCCCTGTGACTCAGTGTTTACCAGCATTTTACATAACCTCTGTCAACCCAGTGCATCCCGATGAAATACAGAATTCTGCATACAACCCAGCTAACGGCTATTAGGGGTGATGTGGATTTCGTCTGAAGACTGCATAGTCTTTTGGGTTTTCAGACATGATCACCAGAGCAGCACTTACTGCACCTGAAAAATGTCACTAATTTGGAGTTCCTTCTGATAGAAAATGCTGCCAACTACAATTTCAGATTCAGTGGCACAGGGCATTCCCTTCCAAGGTCTGACCTTATCTGCCTGGCACTGGGAAACTGAGAAACACATTGCTTTTACGGTGTGCTTCTGAAGCCAACTTAGCTAAAATGTTTGGCTGACAAACCTTACAAAGAGCAACCAAAGCAGAAATTCTGTTCTAAAAAACTGGCAGATTTTTTTCTCATCCAATTAAGCGAACATCAAAATTGCACTACTTGATTTGCTGAGTTGTTAGCATTTATTAAAGGCTTTATAGGCATTCTGCTGCCAGATTTCAGGTATAACCAAATGTTCCCTTGACTTCCCTGGAATGCTAACTGACTAGCAGCACAGCGTGAATGGTGAAAGTATGTGCTTCATTTAACTAATCTTCAACTCAAAAGTCATCTCAAAAGGTTATCGGATCTTGTGTAATTTGGAGCATTTTAGGACAAACTAGCCAACTGTATTTTCATTGTTTTGTGAATAGAATAAAAGGATCTGTTCAGATAAATCCAATATAAGCAGTAGGGGATTGTTACATAGGCTAAACCAGCAGCGATGTAGCTGAAAAAGAAATGGAAAATGGTTTAGGCAAGCATTTGCCTAATGTAGATGGAGTTATTCATTAGTAAATGCTCTTCTGTTGTGTAAAAACTAGAGGGCTTTTGATTTTATGTCACTATTTTTTATAACTAAGGATCTAGTGTTGCCATAATGAGAAATATAAGTGCCCAAGATGTTGTGTTTGTTACAAAGAAATGACTTTCGGTTGTGGGTGACAGCTAGTTACGAAACCATGATGTACATTGAAAATTTTCTTCAGGCATTGTGAGCAGTGACCGGTTCGGCCTGTCTGTGGAGAGCGCGCGAAAGGTATTTGTGCTATGGGGCAGGAGGATTCCTAACGGGTTGTGTTGTTTCTGATGAATGTACAGCACTTTGGTTGATGTTTGTGAGCAACACGGCCTTAACCCTGACACTTTTGCTTTGGCTTTCTGACATGGGAATGTTCCCTAAGCTGCACAGTGTATGGCAGTAGCCCCGTTGGAAATCTCTCCCAGTTGATACGCTGCAGCTTTCCAGTTCTAGGAGTGAGTCTGTCTCCTTTTTTTTTTTTTTTTTAAAGTTTTTGTACATTCCATCTTTGTAAGTCAAGTTCGTATGTTTTGTGTTCACATAAGCCTTGCACTCTCTTGACACTCATAATGAAATATTCTTCTCACTTGTTTTTTGTTGTTGTTGTTTTTGCTTTGTTTTGGTTTTTTAATCCCTGTGAGGCTAAATACAAACTTTGTCTCCTTAAGGTCAAGGATGAAAGAGGCGCATCAAAGTGTTTGTGTGTGTGTGTGTGTGTGTGTGTGTGTAGTTTTAGCTTCCTGTGTGCCACGGTATTCTTGATGCTTTAGCTGACGATTAAAAAGAAATTACTCTGTCTTGGAAATGTAGGAAAACCAGAGTCAAATGTGTACCTTTACCACGCACAAAATTTCAAATAATAAAAATAAAGCTTGTTTCCTCTGTTATTTTCATGGTTGAGTATTTATTTTTCATATGTCTCATACTCACTGTTCCTAAAAATAGCCCTGTAATGCAGGAAGATGGGTAATTTTTTCCAAGGGAAACCCTGACACCACAGGTCACAAGCCAAGAAAACTGTGATTGTTTCACGGGTGTTAAGCTTTTATGTAGACACAGAGGAAAGAGGGACTTGGGTGCTTCTTGGGAAGAAGGTGGGGAGTTGGAGTTTCCTTGTCTCCTCCCTCCCGTCTTCAGTTCAGTAATCAAAATGAACATTTTCATTGGTGGCAATAAGATTAGGAGTCATCAGCTTTTCCGTTTGCATCATACCAGTACACAGCACCCTTCAGCTCTGCTGTACTATAATCTTTCAAGGGTCTGCTGCAGAAAACCAAATATAAATTATTGAAGAACAACACAAAATTTGCCTTAGGAGTTCACTCTGACTCCTTTCCCGTAACAACGAATTCTCAGCTCATGTTAACTTTCATTTTACATGGTACATACATCTTCTTGGTCACGGGTGAACTCTCCAAACCTGAATCCTTTGAGAACTCAGTGTGATTGGGAACTCGCTCACGAAGTAAGAGAGAATCTTCGGACGCATCCTTTGGCTTGGAAACAATCTCACGGGAGGGGACTGGAGAGGTCAGACTTGGTGGGGTGTGCTTGCTCGGAGGCGGGACACTCGGAAATGAGACAGCTGAAACACGGAGCAGCCATCCTTTCTCGTGGGTCTTGTCCCCAAACCCTCTACAGGAATCCATGTTTTAGTCTTTCTTGCAAGGCACAGGCAATATCAGCAGCCATGTTTTCAGGCCTTTTTTTTTCCTCCTGAAGGCAAACCTGCTACAACATAATGGCTCTTTGGGGTTTTTTGCTGATGTTTGTTTTTCTTTGTCAGTCTTCAGATGAATGTATGTCGAGAAAATATAGTCTTGGTGCTGAATGTATGGGAGTATATTGTCTCTCTGCCCTGAAGTTCAGATGCTTACAAGAGGCTTTATTTGGCTGCCAGCTAAAAAGCCTCACAGCGTGAAGCAGAGCAGCACTGCTTTGACATCCAGAGTTGTGGAGCTCCTGCCCCTTCCCAGGAAAAAAGCCCATGAAGAAGAACCGAAGAAACAGCACAGGATACCTTGAAGCCGCAGGGCTGCATAGGCAAGGCTCTTGCTGCATTCCCAATCTTTTCTCACTGACAGGCTACAATTTTTTTCTGTTCCCTGGATTATTACAGCAGAGGCTCTCCC